TGATTCAGCATCAATTTCTTGATATGGATTGAAAAGTTACAGGGAAGAAGATTCCACATCACAATGGGGAAGTGAAGAGCAGTAAATTGTGCTTATCAGGACTGACACAGGCAACATGGTCAAAGCCATAGCTATGAAGAACGATTTTTGCTGTTTCAGGCATCATAAGTATAAAAGGCACACCAGTGAAAGGTTGGGAAACTGATAAGCAAGTTTTCAAACTCTAAGAGCATTAGCTGGATTAGTTGATAGGAAAAAAACACTATCTATTTTTTTATATATTGTATAGGAAAACTGGAGGTAGATTTGAGACACGAGACAGAAAATGCTTGGTGTCCAAGATGTCTGTATTACAGCTCATGGCAATAGATACCGGTGTGTTGTTATGAATATGAAATCTAGGGAGTCACTGGAGAAACGTGGCTAAGGACTGTGTTACAGCTGTATGGAACTTGAGTTGATAGCTAGGCATTCACAAGAGTTGACTGAAGACTGTCAACATTTTAGCTTCCTTAGCAAGAGGTCAGGGCCAGAAGGATAAAACTGTGTCATCTCTATGGATGACACCTATTGAAATTTCTGTAGGCGATATTATCCAGCTGTAAAAGGAGGTGGTACAATAAGTGAGGATAAAGATCTCGTAGATTTATCCCTCTTTTCTACCTTCTTGAGAAACTGCAGGGATGATTGTGTTCTTTAAATAACACAGGAGGTATGATTGAAAGAGGAGAACTAGGACAGCAGCAAAGAAAGGGGAGACAACATTCTAAGATGTAGAACTATTGGACAAGCATCTGTTGGACAGAGAAAATTTGGGCTCTACTGATTCTGAGGCTCTCCTAGGAGGAGGTAATCTGTAAGCTGAGTGAGATGACAGAGTAGTTTTAAAGGCAGGTTGTCATGTCTGATACAGTTTATCTCACATGGAAAAGACCTGAACTGTGAAGGGATATACTAGAGTTTGCAAGGAGGTTAAAAAGAAGAGTAAAAAAACCATAAGAATTCATGAAGATTGGAGTAAAGCCATTGGTTTGGTAGCAGGAGCAGTAGAGGAGAGTAACAGACAACATCCATGTGTGGGTTGAGGAGGAGGGAGGTCTCAGATTTGGAGCTTGGTGGTCACTGTGAGAAAAATACATGATATAGAAGCTCTGAGGAGACTTGCTTATGAGTGTTAGCTTGATTCTGTTGTGTGACATTGTGCCCAATTATTAAAAATGTTGATTGATTGAATTGAGAGATTATCAAAGAAATGCTACAATGGTTACAATTTCATTTTATGCAATGGCTTTTATACAGTTGATGCTATTTAGGAATTCTTTGATTTCTTATTTTAAATTACCAGTTCTCCTGTGTCTTAATCTTTGGCTAGGAATGTTTTTTTCATAAAGCTAATTTACTTCAGTGAATGTACGATGTATTTTATGTGTATGCTTCACTCGTATACTTCAGTAGCAAATTACCAGGCTCCATCAATGCTTGTTTCTATTTTATCTCTACGAAATACCTCTGATTCTTGTCTATCCCTACCACAAATAGGGACAGCTACCACACTAACTTGAAAATCTAATTAATATTGCAGTATATTAATAATGTTCAATATTTTGAGTCAGCTTGTATATGATTCAGGACATCTGTTTCACAGCTCAGTGTTTCAGTTCCTTTGGTATTACTCAGACAACCCATTAAAAATAAATCCTTACTTAACCGTATTTGCTTGAGTAGTATGGCAATATTTGCCTACAGCACCTTGCTTCCTCATTACTGAGATACCATTCCCTGGGCTGTCTTGTAGATGATATTGTGAGTGACATCCAGCCTTGCAAAAGGCAGTACTGGTGCACTCTAAGCTGAGAGAATCAAGTAATGTGTTGGAGATACAGCAAATTTTGGCCTGGTGTTGCAAAGGGGGCTGTTGAGTTTATATAGTGGTTGAGATCTGCATTTATGGAGAATTTACAGGGATCTGTGGGATAATTCATACCTCCAAGGTTTTTCTTTAATTTTCAGCCTGTCTGCAGATGCAGACAGATAATCTGGAATACATGAAACAAGTTTTCTGGGCCAGTGTTACCTTTACAGCAATTAAAAAAAAATCAAAACTTGGAAACCATGTAAAACCACATGATATTAAGCCATTGTTATCTTACTATGAAAGGATAAATACAAGTCTTTCAAACAAATGATAAAGAAGCAGTATGCATCGTATCATGACTTCCATAAAGCCAGAGTCTCTTGGTATTCTCATAACGTTGGGGAAACTTGGGTTTTATTTTAAAATTACTATCACGTTATAGGGAAACTACTTAGAATACTGGCATTAATAACTGTCAAATCACTGGTGTTCAATTTAGCTTACTTAATTTACTTTTTATGTGTTCCTTAAATTTAACTGCAGAGTAAAAAAAGAAATGGAGGGGGATTGTTTACTATTATCCCTGTGGCTAGGAGAACTAGTGGATTTAACTAGTGGCAAGGAAAGCTCTGACTAGACTTTAAGAGAATTCTCATTGCAACAGGAATCCTGGATTTCTGTGGTGGATGGTTCAGGGAAACAGTGGAATTTTCATCATGAAAGGCTTTTCAGAACAGGTTGAACAAGCCATCTCTGCAGAATAATGTAGGTATAGTTGATCCTGCCTGAGGCTAAGAGGCTGCATTAGATGACCTCTTAAGGTTTCTTCTAAAACCTATTGGTTTATGTTCATATATGACTCTTCTTAAATATAAGGTTAAATTTCACTACTAGATTCCACATCAGATATTTATTCTGTAAAAGATTCCACAGCCACTGAATATTCAGATTACATTGAATCTTCTACGGGGGAAAAATAACACTGTGAGCTGCTTTACAGTACGTGGTTACAGGCACTTTTGTTACTGTCTGTGGCTGCATCCTATAGTTTCCTTCTAGCTTGTACCACAGCTTTTTCTATAGCTTCTTTTAATGCTGCTGTTGGAAAACCTGGGGGGGGGAGGGGGTGTGTGTGTGTGAATTCTAGTATACTCGAAGCCCTGGATGACTGCTTCTTGTGTTGGAGTGTAGTTACTTGAAAACTTCAGGGTACAAACTTGGCAGGCTGAGGGAGAATAGAAACATGGACTAAAATAGCCTGGAGCACTGATGAGGAGACTGAGAGCTTGAAGCCTGGGCTTTCTTGGAATTTATCCTGTGCCTACTTTTAAAGTATGCAGACTGCTCTCACCCAGTATCTAGCTGTTATTAATGCAAATATCTAGTTTGGTACATGTATATGTCCCACAGATAAAATTATTATGAATGTTTTTAAGAATTGTTTATGCAAATTGAAGCACAACTCTGCTTATGTGGAGAGTGCACATTTAATGAAGAGCTTTAAAATAGTTAGGTTTAATCTTTGTGGCTCAACATGTGATGCCACATTTTATTTACTGAAAAGATCTGAAGGAACTTTCTTTGCAGACAAAATTTTGTCACATTCTGTATTATTAAGGTATCTGTGTCTTTTTAAACATCACATTATCTCTGTTCCATCTCTGAGTTTACAGGAGAGTATTTTGATTACGGATGGGAAATTAAAGTGCAGAGAATTAGAAGTACTTGTTTAATTTTAAGCAGGTGCTTAGGTCTTTCAGGGGCTTTAGTCTAATGTAGGAATACTTGTCATTGAATATAACCTTTATTGGTCCGCCACACAGGAAAAAATAAATCACTTTAGCATTTGTATTAGATATTTATTACATCCATTGTATTGGGACTTTGTTTCTTGGTATAAGGTTTTTTTTATCTTTTTCTTTTAACAAGCACCTCAGCTGTTAACTATACACTTCCAGCCTTTGAAATAAATGACATGAGGGCCTACAGAACAAATAAATGGAGAATACTGCATAAGGCGATGGACCTTGATAGGGGAAATGTAGCAAGTGAACGTATTATTAATGACCATATCATAATACATAGGCACCAGCAGGGTGAGGTGGGTTAAGTTAATTTAAACGTTTTTGAGTGTTTCACTTTATTGGCAAGTTATACCTGCTAATATGAAGAGGAATGGGAGTATCTCTGGATAGATGTGTTTGTGCAGATGTGTATTTAAGGTGGAGCAAGGAATTGGTACAGTTTACAGCAACCCAGATTAGTAGTAACTCTTAGTGCTAGGCTTTTTCCTTTATAGATTTCACCCCACTTTTCCTTCTTTCTGTTTTCCTTGATGTCAAGTCATTGTGAATGTTGTAAAGGGTGGGGGAGGGAAAGAAAAGTTATTCTCTGTTTTGTGGCTACTTCCCAGCTGGAATAGCTGGGAGCAGTTACTAGAGGAAAACCAGTCTTGATGTTGTAACTTTGAGTGAAGAGAGCACGCTTAGTACCACTGTGGGAAGGTTGCATCTACAGTCTGATCAACACAGCAAGCTCAGGGGGTGGGGCTAAAGTAGTACAGAAAGAACTGACTTTTCAGAGGTTTTTATCTCTAGTTAGTATATTGAAAAAATATGACTTGAAAAAATGTGGCTTTTTTCCTCCCCGTTTTTTTTCTTTTAAACTCTGAGGCTTACCATTTAACCAAAGGCTTACAATTCAACCAGATGCAACTGTATCTTCAGACAAATTGCAGAAGTGACATCCATCATGGAAAGAGTTGCCACCTGGGAAACTTCAGGTCACTTTGCTGAAGTAGGAATTTATTTGCAACATTTAAATGCTATAATTCAAGCATCTAACATAGCCAAAACTTGTTCCTTCTGTCCCAGACGTATTTTCAGACAGAACTAAACCATTTCAACTGAAGCCTTTAAAAAAAAAAAATAAATAAAAAAATTCAATTCAATGCACTGTCAAAAAATTCAACACAAAGTACTAAAGTTTTGGCAAAGTTACAAGAAACTGAAAACTACTTTGATGGGTTGTGGCAACCAACCATAAGCATACATTTGCATTTACAGGGGGATTATGAATCTCACCCATAATCTTATTCTTGTCTTTTTTCTTTCTTTAATATTCTGCTACTTTTTTTTTCTTTCAGATGATATTAACTGTGTTTCTGAGCAACAATGAACAGATTTTGACAGAAGTTCCAATTACACCAGAAACAACCTGTCGCGATGTAGTAGAGTTCTGCAAAGAGCCTGGAGAAGGAAGCTGCCATCTGGCTGAAGTGTGGCGTGGAAATGGTAAGTAAAATGTTCAGTGGAAATTGATTTAAATATATGTACCAATTATAAAAAAGGTAAGACTGACTTTTCAATATTAATGATTTCAAATTACACTTTTTTTTTCCTAGCAAACTTTGATGCAAAGCATGGTAATTCAGTATCTGTAGAGATGAATACAATTCTTGACTTATTTTTTTTCTTGTCAGATGGAATATTTGATGAAATGCATGTGTAAGATACATTGGTGTTCTGTATTTCAGCTTTCAAATTACGTAAACAAAGTGCACAGTATCCCTACCTTGAAAAAAAAATATAAGGGGAGGGGGGTGTGTGTATTTTCACTTCTGGAAGCCATTTATTTCAAATAGGCATGCAGCATATATCAGGTGGAGGGTATTTAAATGACAATACAGACCCTCAGTGAACTTCTCTCATGGTCAGTGGATGCAGATTACCACCTGCATGCTTTCGACTTCTATCTCCTCACTTAGACATGTGAACACAACCTGAAATTTATGAATGGGTATAGATCTTTCTCCTTGTGTGTCATGAACAGCAGATCTTCTGCAGACAGAATTGTGCCAGAATTGGACATAGTATCTCCAGTTCCTTTGTCAACATTTCCTCTCAAAGACCTGATAACCTTCCTTGGGGGTAGTGGTGCCCATATCCTGTTTGTGTTGCAGTTGTTATTTCACAGAATAATGGGGTGAGCAGTTCTTTTGAGGAGTGCATCAAAACAGCCCTTTCATGTACTGTTTCTAGATAGATTCTTGCAATTGCATGTAGTACAACCCTCCAGGTTATAGTGTATCAGTGTATGGATGTGAGTATAATCAGTGGATGGCTGAGGGTAAGATTTAGGCAGGTTCTTATCACTTAGTTACTAAGGTCACCCCTGCTTAAGCTGTTTGTCATCTTCTTTATATGAAGACTGAGGAGGTCATAACTTGATACTGAATTCTTAAATTTGTGTAGAGGGGTTTTATTTTGGTCAGGGTTTTTTTGTCAAACTGACAAAATGGGACTTAGACCATGCAACTCTGGCAAGTGGAAGCACATGATTTCAATAACTTCTACGATGGAGAAAGTATTTTGTTTGTGGATGTAATGTATCTCAAAGTGTTAGATACCTAAAGCTGAAAGTTTCCATGAAGTATGAAATAAAACTTCTCCAGGAAGTTGTGATGGAGAGACTAAGACTAAATTTTGTATCTACCCTGTGAATTATGCGTCTTTGGTCCCAGTATAGTTAGTGGAGATCTGAATATTATCGTGAGTAGAACATGGAGATCACTGATTTCAGCTAGTTGATACCTATTCCATTTTGAGCATTGGAGCTCACCCGGTTTTCTGAAGTAGGCATCTATATACAAACACTTCAGTTCAGGAGCAGAATCCTGCCCAAATCTTAGACCTATTGAATGGGTTTGTCAGTCTTTTCAAAATGGGTTTGTGGCTCCAGGTTGCTTTAAAAACTTGCATGAAGGTGCTTTCACAAGTCTAATTTCACATGCTAAATACCCAAGGTCATAACTACATAAATCTGTTCCATTGAAAGTCTGGAACAAGAAAGATTAGAGAGAAGAAAATAAAAAAATGAAACAGTTGCATATATTTCTGGATCTCTCAGACAGGCCTGTACTGTCAGCAAAAAAGATGTTCTGCACACTGATTTTAAGTCTCTGTGGCAGGAATTCCAGCACAAGCACACAAGCGTTTTGTTTGTTGCTCTTAAATGTAGGTTACTGTTAAAACCTCCCTGTGTGTTGGTGGCCTCAACTTATTGCCCCAAAGTCTGGGGTACATAAATTTCTCAGTGAAACAACCAGATTTTTTGGGTTTTTTTACATTTTTAAAATGTGATAATTTTTCCTTCAGCTGCTCCTGAGAGCTGAATTGAACTCCTTCCCCTGAAGTTTTTAAAAATAGTTTTGCCTGGAGCAGAGATCTGATGTAGAAAACATGTCTAAACAGTTAAACGCAACAGATACAACAAGAAAAAACTTAAACTATGTTTCTGAGTGGGAAGTGTAAAGCAATTTGCAATGAAATTGTGGCATGTTGTGCCAGTGAAAGGGTGGGGTTTTTTTCTCTTCTATTATGCTGTCTCTGATCCCTCAACCCTTATCCTCAAGAGAGAGCTACAAATGTTTTTCAGAGGACATTTTTGAAAGTAAAATTAAAACTAAAAGTTAATACAGAAAATCATGGGTTGAATAAACACATTAGCTTTTGTCTTGCATCGTAAGTGTTCTGTTTTGTTGGTAGTCTCTCCATGTTGCACAGATGACTAATCATAGCTCTCACTGAGAGTGCTGTTGTGTCTGTCCTCTTCTTAATGTGCTTAATTCCTCCATTCTATAGGTAGCCACAGCCTCTTTTAGGTAACCCCGCTGAATAATACATGTCTACTCAAATTCAAAGCAATGGGGTTTGTAGACTGTAGTTTTATTATGAGGTACAAAAAACATTTTGTGGCCCAGAAGCTTGTCCATTTCCTAAACTGTATCAGTGTAACAAAATACTGTCTCTTACAATAATCTTTCTCTTCTGAATGAGAAATACTTTATTTTTAGCAGGTGGCAGAGATGATTTATCTTTAAGAAAAATGTTATTAACATCCATGCAAGTTTTACTTCAAAATTTATGTAAGATTTCTAGCGTTCAAAGGAGGATTACAGTAGTTTAGCTGCTGGAAAACATATTTGTTTATTATGTTAGCTTTTCTCTCTGCTTTTTTGTGTGGCAGAGAAATGGTTGAGGAGCTTCCCAAGAGTTGTAAAATAGTTTAGGTAATGTTTGTATTAGAGTTAAGAAACTGATTCTTCTCAGAGCTGCATGACATAAGCATTTGGTTTATTTGTGTTTGATTTTTATACGTCATTCGCTGTTCCTCCTCCTTTCTAGTTTCTTGAGATGTGTAATAGTTAAAAAAGTCTCTGTCTGATGTATCAGTACATTGTGCTTTGTCACCTTGAAGCTTCCTCTCTGCATGGATTTCTCGTGCTGTAACAGGAAAGAAAACATAGAATGTTCTTCCTCATTCCCCAATTATTGCAAATAGCAGTTGGTAGGGAGGAAAGACAGGTGTGATGCTAGCAACTTGTGGTGTGTTCAAGAGAGAATGGATTTCAACCTTTTAAATCCACCAAATACTTCATTGTTCACTTAATCTACACCTGGAATGCCCTTCAGCAATTGGTATTAATTGGTCTTCCTCAATTTAGTGGTAACCAGAGACAAGTGACTGTGAAAGAGAGAGTTACGTTCTACAAGTGCAAACCTGAGGGGGGAAAGACTCCTTTCTGATCTTGCAGTGAGCTTGCCTACTATGGAGATAATCCATTACTCTGTATTGTGGTTTCATGTACAGCAGGCATAAATGCTTTTATTACAAACAGCAGGATACTTGTAATCAAGATTAGAACAGCTTCAGAAGTAGTGAAACTTTGTTTTAAATAGTGGATATAGAGTTCTAACAGAAAGATTTTTTGCAATTCTCTTCTAAAACATTGATTCAGTATGTGTGTTCTGATCTTTCAGGGTGCTTAAGACATTTCAGAATACTTGAAACTAGCCCATCCTTAAAACTTCCTACTTGAAAGGGAAGGAGTCTAGCTCAGATCTCAAAAGTCTACCAGAATTTTCATCCAACTTAAAATCTAAAGCAGTTTTTGCAAATAATGATGGATATATGCATATCATGGTCTTCCACTTAGTTATTAACGAAAACATTCTCTAGATAATTTTTTTATGTGCTGTTAAAGTAGAGGGATCCAACCTGTTTATTATTACTCTACACCTGTTCTCCTATTTCACCTTGTCTTCATTCTCCTATTTTTAAACTTAATAAAATGGAAGTTTGAAATAGTATTGTGAAACAATTACTGACAAATGTGTCTGAAGCTATAACAAATGTTATAAAGTTTAAGTGCAGGTTGGTTGTTTTGGTTTTGATTTTCATTCTTAAAGAACAGGTATTTCCAGAAAATACCTCTTTGTGCTATCCTACTTTACAGCAAATACAACATCGTGCTTTCTTTCTGCAGTTTTTCTAGATTTAGAGGATTTTAACTGAAGGAAGGAATGGGGACTTCAATTCTCATCGTGTGTCTACTGTTAGTGTCCATTTCTTCTTTCTCTTTCTTTTCTGGATCTGTTTCATGTACCTAAGTTGCACAAAATAATTAGTGCTTCTTTTTCCTAAATGATGATGGTGTTGATCTTATTATTTTAGCCTATTTTCTGTCTAATTTATGGCACCGTAGCCCAAAGTTGGGGATTTTTTGTGGAAAAATTGCAAAAGTAGTTAAATGTTTCTTTCCCATTTCTCTCCATGGTTATGGCTGAAAAATACTAGCCTTGATTCTTCAAGGTATGCTATGTAAATGAAACCTTTTATTTTGAATTGCTCCTGGGATTAGGGCCTGACTTTTAATGGCACTCCAGCCTAACCGGCAGCGATGCTGCAGCCACTCCTCACCATTCCAGATTTAGCCCAACCCTGTTAAGACATCCAGTTCCTTAGTACCATCTTATTAAGCTTCAGGTTTTGCTAGGTTTAGTTAGAAATTTTTCTGTGTGGAGAAAGATTCCTAGATTATCTTCTGTGTCTCTGAACTAAACCATTTAAAAACTTTTACACTCTGATCTTTAGAAGACTTATGCTGAAATTTTAGTGGATATGCTTCAAAGCACTTGAAGTCTTACTCTAGGAGTTGAAAAACCTGAAAATCATGTTTTTAAAATTCCTTTTCAAGAACCGAGTTGTAATAAGGCCCTGACCTTGTTCATATGTGCCTAAACACTATTGACAGTGGTCTTGGAGTCCACTTGAGTGAGGAACAAGGAAATGAAAAGCTTCAATCTTTTTAAATCCAGGTGTTGGGGTTTTTTTGGGGGGGCAGGGTGATGTGTTAGGAAGATGAGTAACTGGTCAGCTGATGAATATAACTAGCTTGTGGTTTAAATGACCCTTCCACACTGAAAGCAGCAAGATCAAGTGTAGCTAATTTGTGTGAATCACTATACCTATTTCAAGTGACAGATTCTGACAAGACACTTGTGAACCGAGTCATGAAAATGTATTGTTTCTTAAATATGACAAGTATTCCAAGAGTATCAAGGCATATGTACATTTATGCCTATAAATTTAGGTAACTTTCATTATAAAAAGCTATATTTGTGATGTGTTTTTCCCAAGTTTTCTCCAAGATACCTGTTATATCTTTGAAACATTTTGTCTTCTCATGTCAAACAGGTTAAGCATGAAATGGCTAACAAATTGGGCTTTGTGCTCTGCCTGGTAGGAGATACTGTGGTTTGGCTTTTGGGGGCAGAGAAGATTTTGCTTTTAACAATGAAGAATGCAAACTCCACCTTTTGGTTTCAAGCCAAGCCTGATTTCCTGTAGTAATATTGGCTTGACATGGTGCTGCATGTAGGAAAGCTTATTAAATGTCTTCTAGTATAATTTTATTCTGATTAGAAGATATCTTCTAATGCTATGCTTAGTATTAGATCTTAAAGTGGAGGTTTTCTTACCCTAAAACTTTTAAAAGTAAATGCAAATATAATTATGGAAATGGAAGAAACTTTACTTTTGATTTATTCCCCCCCCCGCCCCATTTTGAAATACCAAATATATAGCTTGCAGCCTCCTAGTAATAATGTATTTGACCTATTTGGAAGAAATAACTACACTATGGGAATGTTTTACATTTCTTTGGAGGAAACCAAAAAGACTGCATAGAACTTGGCCTTTCTTTGTTCAGAGATTTGCCAGTAATTCCACATATACTGGAAGTTAATGTCTGGCATCGTGTATTGGAGTGGGAACACCTGCTCAAGTTCTTAGGAGACGAAATGTCGGTATAATGATAAGGCTTAGTCTGAGTGGAAACCTGGAGGTTCCAATGAATGAATCATTTTAATAATAGAACAAAATATCCCTCTGGTGGTGATGGGGAGCAGAGGTGCAAAGATCAGCATTGTGAAAAAGGTTGTGATAAAGAATTCCTAAATTAGGATTTCTAAACAGTGCTATTTTTTGTATTTTTTTTTTTTTTTTTTTTTTTTTTTTTTTTTTTGAAACTCTGGTTTGGAAACTGGGTATGTACTGCTGTTAAGCAGTGAGCCATGTTGTGGTAACAGGCTAGCTTTTAATACAGCACAGCTGTTGTGTGTTGGTGCCTGTTTCTTTGACTTTGCTTAACACCAAATACATTGTATGGGTTGAATTGCTACCAAAGAGAACGTTCTGATTCTTCATGAGAGTTGTATTAAACTTTGCTTAATTTAAAATTTTTGTGATAAGTCTTTTGATCTTTTACTTTTAGAACGCCCCATACCCTTTGATCACATGATGTATGACCACCTACAGAAATGGGGTCCCCGCAGGGAAGAGGTGAAATTTTTTCTTCGTCATGAGGAGTCACCAGCTGAAAGTAATGAACAGAGTAAGTACATTTATCCTGTAGTGTTGTAACTTAATCATATTTTAAAACTTTCTGAAGTGAGTTTGAATATTGGTTCTTTCAGTGAACTTCAGTAGATGTATGTGTAATGTAACTTCTTTATACCAAAACTATTTTGAACCTTTCTCAGTGGCACATATATTGCTATTCTTGAATTCCCTTCTGTAGAATAATTTCTACCAGTCTGTTGAGCAATATTTTTGTAGTAAAATTGGTTTATATTCTGCTTAATTCTGATCCAGAAATAACGGTGGGTATTGGAGGCTTACTGCCCTTTTTTTTTTTTTTTTTTTCTTCCTTCTTGTTGAGGTAAAGTCCCTACATTTTGAGAAGGTGGGATTGTTCTTTTTAACCTCCTGTTCTTTTCAGTTGCCCCACAGAAAAGAATCAGTAAACTACTTTGACTCCTTTAGAAACTAAAATCTATTTTATAGACATCATTGGCAGAAGTCTCAGTGGCTTTGCTTTCTTAGAACTTCATGTAGATGTATTTTTATAGTGGTGGTAATTCACACCTTGAAAAATCACTGGTCTGCTTGGTTCTGCAGGAAAAGTGTTTATATAAAAAAAGTGCTGGATGAAGTGGGGCTTTCTTAAAAGACTGGAACAGAAGGGTTTCAGTTTTCTGCTCTGACTAGTGTAAACTTAATTTATAAGAAGACTTGAGGCAGTGTATTATATACTTAATGGCTGTCAGACTGTCTGGCGGATAGGAAAGGTATCTTGAAGTGAGATACAGATTTGCATGCTCAGATTATTGTTACTCATTCAACTAATCTGACTACGTCTAACAAGTGAATTTCAAATCTTGGCTGAGTCCTTAACTGCTTTGAGCTGGGGTTTCTGGTACATTCTCTTTCATGACATCATTGTTTAAGCAGAAGTCAGAAAAGTAGACCTGCATGTCTGTACTTTTAACAGGAAGTCTGTGAAGTAAATGCTTTATTTCTGCTGACTCCACTGCTTACAAAGAATAACTTAATAAAAAAGAGTTGGAACTAGCAGAATAAAAATTCACAGTTAAAAGTTTTAGATAAAAGTTCTTGAAAAGAACTGATTTCAAGACTGAAAACCATTTGTGTTGGGAACTGAACTTTGCACTAAGAGCAGTGCTTTACTTTTAGGTGGACGTCAAGCCCAAAATCAAAGAAATGGCATAAATATACCTATGGAGAAGCGTACAGAGAATGGGGTATGTAATAATTCATACAGGTTTTGGATCAATTCCACTTAAATATTTGATGTTTTTAGAATTGTCATTTTTTAAGATCTATTGTGGTGGGAACTGGTGGAAAATACGGAAATCTTGTTCTGTTTTGATTTGTTTGGTTTTGTTATAAGGTGAATGGGAGAATATGGCTTTCACAAACTGTTCTAAATTTTCTGTCTGGAAAGTAAGTCACTTAAGTGATGTGAGAAGCCCCCAGAGTCTTATTAATTACTGCATTTTCTAATCTGTCTTCCTCTGTCTTATTCATTCTGTGTGAATTAAAAAAACCAAACAACACAACAGGTACATTATTCTTTCATACTAGTATTTCCTATCCAGACATCTTTTCTTATTTGATTAATCTCACTGGTACTGATTTATGGCATAGCCTCATGTGTTAATACATAAGAATGTGTCTGTGGATTGGGATGTTTTCAGATGCTGGTAGGAGAGGTTGCATACCCCTCAAAGTCACCTCTTCATACTTTTTTTTTTTATGCCCTTGGTTAATTTCTGTGTCTGTTTTTTGTTTCTTGGTGGTTTATTTTTTGGTGGTTTTGTTTGGGTTTTTGGTTTTTTGTGTGTTGTGTTGGCTTTGTTTTTGTTGTTTACTAAAATATGACCAGATTTCTAATTTAAAATAGCTATTACATACCATAGGCAACCCATTCAGTGGCATTTAGTGAATCCTGGTTTGAACATCCTCTCTTTTACAAATAAAATGTGGTACATCTCTTTTGGAATTACCATGGCTTAAAAACCTCTACTCCTGAGATGAAACTCGCTTTACTTTCTTGTCTCTCTTCTCATTCTCAATAATAATGAAGACTCTACAGAGCATATTCTGCTCTCACTTGCTCAGGGCCATTCTGCTGCCTTTCCTGAGGCACTATAGCTATACTTGACTATTTTTAAACACTTTTAAATCTCAAGAAAAAGATTTGAGCTCACTGATTCATAGTTCTATTGCCTCTATGAAGCACTGTCAATTTCCAAGTACATATAGGGCTCCTTCTCACGGTAACAATGCCTAAAAAAGTTTAAAAGCAAACAGATCAGGTTTTCAAGCTGAGACATCTTAAAGAAAAAAAGAACTAAATTGTTAATAATTGTGCAGGTTAAACAATTCTGTGCTTGTATGTTGCCTGATAACTGGCATCTAAAATTCACACACAAAAAACCAGTGCAGCAACAAAATTGTTTAGTTTGCAGCTCTTAGCAGCTTGTTTTGTGTATGGCATGTGGGCCTAGTGGAAGGAATTTTTTTCCCTATTCAAAGCAGTTAATCATGTATTGCGTTCTACGTTCCTTTTCTGTAGAGAACCCTAGCTGATATCCTCTGCTGAGCAGATCCGTTTATCCTGCATCCATTGTCATATTGACAATGTAGTGAGATCATAGTGCTATAATGTGCTAGGGGAACATAACTCTTTCATGACCTCCCCTAGCTATTTCTCCATTCCTTCATTTGAGACATAACATCTTTGGAAATCAGATCTGGCATGTGCATTATACTTACAGTCTCACTTCTTAGCAGCATTAAAGTGTATGATAGCATGGCTTTTTATTTAGTTCAATTTGTTGTTAATATTTATGGGTAAAGCCCAGATCTTTAATAAAACTGCTACCGTGGACCATTCAGCATCTATTTAAAAAGAAATAAAAATATAGTTTTACCACAGTGTTAAAGTTTTGTTAGGGAACTGGTCACTTCAAAATGGACTTTTACCAAGTGTAGGAAACTATTAAAATGCAAGACTAAAACCTGAAGGGTTTATACTAATGTAATTTGTGGTGAGATTTATGCCAAAAATGGTACAAATTAGCTTTTGAAAGTGTATAAAACTGAGATTTTCCAATTGTGCCAAGTTTTAGATTAGAGGGGGAGGGGAAAAAAGAGGTGGCTTCAGGATCAAGGACTTAATCAGCTTACATTTACGTAATACATTAGGCTTATTCACTGTTACTGGCATACTGAATGTTAGACTAGCCCTCAAATCTATGCAAACCAGTGGAACACTGAAGACAGCTCAGATCTTATCAAATATTCTGCATACAGGTATAGTTTTAATGTGTAATATTTTAATGATGAACTAATTGATTTTTACTGGGTATCTGTATAGAGCTGAAAGTGTGACATGCATAAGAAACTTTTAAGATGAATGCTTTAATGTTTGAATCAATAGTCTTGGAAAAAATGATGGGCAGTCTGTCTGGAATTCTATTTGGATGAGTCTATTAATTGGCATTTTGTCATATGCTGTAGGATTTTTTTTTTCCTTTAAAATAACATGTGCTTGATTAGCAATAATTTAAATAATGCTTAGCTTAAAATCACATTATATAAATGCTTAAATTTCATGATACTAAATTCCAAATAAAGATTTAATGTTACAGAGAGAATAGGCTAAATCTTTTTAAACAGTGAAACATGCATTTTTGTAAAAAAAAAAAAAAAGAAAACAAAAAAAACCAGCAAACAAAACAAAACCAAACCTTGTCGCTAAGTGCTCATCTAAGAGCTTTGCATTCTGCATAGCAGTCTAAAGGAAAAACTGTGAGATTTTGTAAATTGACAAGTTCACTTATTTCTGAGGTGAACTTTTGGCTGCTTTTATTTACAACTTTCCTTCTTGGAAGTGGAATTACGCTGCCAATCAGGGCCTGATCTCTTTCTGCCACTACACAAAGATGCTGATACGTGGAGATAAGACTTACGTGACTGAACATTTCCTTTTGACAGGGAGATTGGACAGTGTCTGAAGAGGGATTCTCCTCTTCCTTTCTTTTGCACGTGTAACTGAGCCAGTTGGATTTGAACACCAGTTGTAAAAAGGGAAATTCGAATTAAATATTGGGGAAAATGTTTTCTTGATGAGAGTAACAGATACTGGAACAGACTGGTTGCTGTGGAATTTCCATCTAGCCAAATAAATCTCTGATCAGTGTGAACT